TTAGCTTCTAAAACATCGAATGTATATGAAGTTTATATACGTACATTATATATATATATATATATATATATATATATATATATATATATATGTATGTATGTATGTATAAAAAATAATAAAATAAAAAACAATAGTTAACACTAAATTAAAAAGAGTAAACTTCCTAGACGTAACCCTAGACTTAACAAACAACGTTCACCTACCTTACAGAAAAACTAATACTAATCCCCTGTATGTACACCCTAAGTCAAACCACCCTCCATCTATAATTAAGCATATACCCACATCAATAGAGAAAAGAATCAGAATGAACTCAGCAAATAAGGAAATATTCCGACAACACAGTAGTTTTTATAACACAGCCCTGAAAAATAGCGGATACAAAAACGCTGACATAACCTATAGAAACGATAGTACCAATAAAAAGAAAATCAGGAAAAGAAAGATCATCTGGTATACCCCTCCATACAACCAAATAGTCAGCACCAAACTAGGCCATAAGTTCCTAGCTTTAATTGAAAAGCACTTTCCCACTAATAGCAAACTTAGCGAGATCTTTAATAAAAACACCTTAAAATTGAGTTACAGCTGCACTGAAAATCTAGAAAGAATCATAAAAAGACATAATAAGAAAATCCTAGAAAAACGCGCATACCAAAATAGTAATAAAACTCGTAAACTAAAATTAGACAAAAATAACGAAAAATTATGTGATTCTAGAAACCCTAAAGACTGCCCGTTGGAAAATAAATGCCTCACAAAATCCGTGGTATACCAATGCACTATCTCATCCATTGAGAATCCTAACACTGATAGGATATACATAGGCTCAACGAAGAATAATTTTAAAATTAGATGGAGGCAACACAAGAGCTCCTTAAACAATATTCAAAATAGAAATCAGACATCTCTATCCCAATATTTCTGGCATCTAAAAGAAACGAATAAAACACCAAAAGTAAAATGGAAAATAGTAAATAAAACAAGAACTTGTAAAACCTGGGATGACCCTTGCCATTTATGCCTACACGAAAAACTACACATCATTAAGTTTCTAAATAATGAAAAATTATTAAACCAGAGGCAGGAGTTAACGGGTTTTGCCGACATCAACAAATTTTTGCATTAAATAATTAGCATAAAAAAAATCCCATAGTTTAATAAAAGTCTTAAAAGCTTAGCCAAATCATTAAATAGGAAAAACCCTTTCTGTAGTCGTCAAAAAACAAATTGAAATTCAATGTAATACGGTTTGTATATAAAACATCCACTTGAATAAACAAATAAATAGATAATCAGATAGACAATAATAAAACACAATCCTCCCGACACATAACGACTTGTAGGCGCGCCATAAAAATATCCCTCACTGGGAACAAAATAGAGGATGACCGCCAACATTAGCCTTGAAATAGATACACTACCCAAACTTAGAAAAACCTCTCAGAAGATGATGAATCTATAGATAAGAATTAACTCTCTGACCACTTAACGAAGAAAACTAGCCTAGCCACTCCCACAATAACGAATGTTATAACGGACCATGCCTAAAAACACACGTAAACCAAAAGATAGCTTATTCCTAAAATTATGCTTGAAGATGAAACGGGACTAAACACCTCAATTCAACTTAATTTTAATAATTATTTGGATGGTTTCGGCTCTCGTTTTTGAAACATGAGAACTCTTATGTAGCGAAGGAATCATATTTTTAAACAACAAAAAATATTATAATTATATATATATATATATATATATATATATATATACACATTCATTTCCAACATTTATCATTCCAGAATTGATATTTTGTTCTAAGATTCGTCATTCTAACAACGCACATTCACTTCTAACATTCATCATTCCAACATTTACATTCAATTCCAACATTCGTCAGTCCAACATTTACATTCATTTCCAACACTTATCATTCCAAAATTTACATTCAATGTTTGTCAGAACCGCGGATGATAGTAGCGTCGAGCTCCCACTGTCTATAAAATGCTTCCGTAGCATGCGTCTCAAATAGCCTCTGAGAAGTAAGTCCAGCTCCGAGCCGGAGAATGGGCTAAATCGGACCACTGGCGCCTCATAACCAGCCGCTTCTGGGAAAATGGAACTCAACAGCCCAGAAAGGCAGTCCATCTAGTGGAAAGAAAACCCTGATTTTAAACCTCCGCTGCCTTGCGGTCATATCCAAATACGGAAATCGTTATAGAAGTAAATCCAGAGAGAAAACCCGAAGGCGTTTGGCTTTCAGCACTGACAACTTTCTGACAGTTCTTACAGCCAAGCCATCCGCAAATGTAATGCCGTGTATTACTTTGGATTTTGTCGGTAAGGCAGAGATGTGGGGGTGCATGTAGCCTGGCCAGCGCATGGTCTTCATGTATCATCGTCACGTCCTGCACCCTGGAGGTTAATCCAGTTTCATTAGCATAGAACTGAATTTTGATTAAATAGAAAGCTACGTTCATCTCTGGAGATTAGCGGATACTTACAACTATTGTTTATTTTATCCATCAAACATATTTTTCATATACTTACCTCACACATTTTTGCCGGGAAAATCTAATATAATATCAGTTCAAGACCAGGAGGGGGTCATCCCCACTAGGCAGTACCTCTCCTTCGTGAAGGAACTAGGTTCATTACCCGATGCCTGGGGCGTCACTCAAAGAAGTACCGAGACGTCTTGATCAATTTTCAAATGGTGTTTCCGTTGAATCCATTTTAAAATGACCTTGTGTCACATTCCTTTTCGTATGATCAGTATTTGTAAAAATATAAAATTCAAATATTGGCAAATAGTGTTGGCTGATAACAATCACGTCCAACATCCACATTCACTTCCAACATTATCATTCCGACATTCACATTCACTTCCAACATTATCATACCGACATTCACATTCACTTCCAACACCCACATTCACTTCCAACATTATCAATTCGACATTCACATTCACTTCCAACATTCACATTCACTTCCAACATCCACATTCACTTCCAACATTATCATACCGACATTCACATTCACTTCCAACACCCACATTCACTTCCAACATTATCATTTCGACATTCACATTCACTTCCAACATCCACATTCACTTCCAACATTATCATTCCGACATTCACATTCACTTCCAACACCCACATTCACTTCCAACATTATCATTTCGACATTCACATTCACTTCCAACATCCACATTCACTTCCAACATTATCATTCCGACATTCACATTCACTTCCAACACCCACATTCACTTCCAACATTATCATTTCGACATTCACATTCACTTCCAACATCCACATTCACTTCCAACATTATCATACCGACATTCACATTCACTTCCAACACCCACATTCACTTCCAACATTATCATTTCGACATTCACATTCACTTCCAACATCCACATTCACTTCCAACATTATCATTCCGACATTCACATTCACTTCCAACACCCACATTCACTTCCAACATTATCATTTCGACATTCACATTCACTTCCAACATCCACATTCACTTCCAACATTATCATACCGACATTCACATTCACTTCCAACACCCACATTCACTTCCAACATTATCATTTCGACATTCACATTCACTTCCAACATCCACATTCACTTCCAACATTATCATTCCGACATTCACATTCACTTCCAACACCCACATTCACTTCCAACATTATCATTTCGACATTCACATTCACTTCCAACATCCACATTCACTTCCAACATTATCATTTCGACATTCACATTCACTTCCAACATCCACATTCACTTCCAACATTATCATTTCGACATTCACATTCACTTCCAACATCCACATTCACTTCCAACATTATCATTTCGACATTCACATTCACTTCCAACACCCACATTCACTTCCAACATTATCATTCCGACATTCACATTCACTTCCAACATCCACATTCACTTCCAACATTATCATTCCGACATTCACATTCATTTTCAACATTCGTTATTCCAACATTCACATTCAATTCCAGCATTCGTTTTTGCAACATTCAGATTCTATAACAACATTCGTTATTTCAACATTAACATTCACTTCCAACACTCATCTTTCACTTCCAACATTATCATTCCAACATTCACATTCACTTCCAACATTATCATTCCAACATTCGCGTTCACTTTCAACATCTACATTCACTTCCAACATTATCATTCCAACATTCACATTCATTTCCAACATTCGTTATTCCAGCATTCATATTCAATTCCAGCATTCGTCATTGCAACATTCACATTCTATAAAAACATTCGTTATTTCAACATTAACATTCACTTCCAACACTCATCATTCCAACATTAACATTTACTTCCAACATTCGTCATTGCAACATTCACATCCACTTCTAAAATTCACCTATGCAACATTCACATTCGCTTCCAACATTCTTCATTCCAACATTCACATTCACTTCCAACATTCGCCAGTCCAACATTTACATTCTTTCCAACATTTGTCATTCCTAAATTCATATTCACTTCCAACATTCGTCATTGCAACATTTACATCCACTTCTAAAATTCCCCATTGCAACATTCACATTAAGATTCGTCATTGTAAATCTTACATTCACCTCCAATTTTCGTCATTCCAACATTAACATTCACTTCCAACATTCTTCGTTGCAACATTCACATTCAATTTCCAACATTCGCCATTGCAACATTTACATTACCTACATTGCATTTAAAAATTGAAACATACACAAACACCAACGCCCTAATATAAATATGCAAAGTAACAGAATTTCAAAATTGCATTAATAACCATTCTCTCGCAGACGAAAGATCACAAGACTCTCTCTCTCTCTCTCTCAGCTCTCTCTCTCTCTCAGCTCTCTCTCTCTTTCTGCTCTCTCTCTCTCATCTCTCTCTCTCTTTCTGCTCTCTCTCTCTCTCAGCTCTCTCTCTCTTTCTGCTCTCCTTCTCTCTCTCTCTGCTCTATCGCTATTTCCATGAAAAATGCTCAGACAAACTACATTCCTTAGTTCCAGCCTTCTATTTTAACCTTTACGGACAGTCCTTGGTATGACGATAAACTACATCCGGCAGCAAGACCTCTAATCAGGAGGTTTTGAGGAACATGGAACCACCCCTTCAATTACTGGTGTTCCCAGGTCCATCCGGGGCGGGATGGGGAATGTAGCACCTGTTAGGGTCCCAGCTATGGGAAAATAACGAACAAAACAAAATAACAAAATAAAGTCAAAACTCTATGAAAATTTAAAAGTACATTTTTTATATAGTAAAATTTTCAGAACTCTCAAGAAAATTAAATTTTGGCATTTAATGACGCATAAGACTCGCCATATTACGCACATTTTACCGAACCACAAGCTTCCTTCCGTATTCCACTCGAGTAGCTTCTTCCCGCGAACCATTTCTCTGTGGAACCGACTCACAAGAGGATGTTATCCTGATTTTTACATTCTTAGCCTGTTCAAGTCTTGGGTTAACATTTAGCTTTCCAACATATCCGACTAAACCTTCATTTTTGTGCCATAGCCCACTTTCACACGGAAAAATTTGGTAAAAGTTTGTTACTAGTTCGTAAACTGACTTTATGATGATGTAAAAATATCAAAGGGAGGTAACAAATAACGCTGACTTATGCGGCGGTTACTGCTACTACTTGGCCATTGAAAAATTTATAATTTTGTTTTATAGTCAAGTTTAGTTTTATGATTAGCGTCGCAAATGTTGACAAAAAAAAAAAAGATTTTTCATCATAATTTTAAAATTACAAAGAATATACACTATTAGCAGCTAATAAAAATTCAGCGAATCTTATTTTTTACATTATTCGGACTATTGTCCTCATCTTTGTCGTCGTTTCGGCCGTTGTACGCTCCGATCTTCTTCAGGTGGTTGGAATGTCAAATTGAACCCTTTAATTCGTTCACTGGGGTAGACTGTTCTAGTTCCACGTGACATGTTTAATGGATGTCAGGTATCAGCTATCTCCTGTTAATTCCCCTATGAAAGTTCTCCACTGCCTTAACTAGGTATTGAACTCACACTCTTTGGGTCCTGTCACTGGATCTAACTAACGCCTTTATCCACTGTGACATGTGTCCTTGGGGACATCTGTGTATGAATTTCTGGTTATTTTAAACCTAATGACGTCAGCACACATTTTTTACCAGAGCTCATATTGAAATTTTTGCTGTTATCATTTCATGTTTTTACCAAAGCTCATATTGCAATTTTTCGTTTTTCTCTGGCACTCTTTATTACTGTATTTATTTATATGCTTGGTCGTCTCAGGAGATTTTTCTGGCCTACCATATGTGCTGATTTTTTTGGTTATATCTAATACTGAAAAAGTATTTGCATGTTAAGGACCGTTCACAAAACTGTAGAAAATACCAAAATATTCTTTATAATAATATTTATAACTTATGAATGTGACCCAAGTATTACCATGTGGTCTCTTGTTTTTTTAATGTAGGTTCTTTGCATATCTCCTTTGATATTTTTTTCGGGTGGCATTAGTTGCAATATCTTTTTAATATCCCAAATCCTTCAGTTTATATTTTTGAGATGAGGTATTATGTACACTATTTACATTATTCGGACTATTGTCCTCATCTTTGTTGCCATATTTATCCGATCCTTCAGTATCTGTCTATATTTCTGAGATGAGGTATTATGTACACTATTTACATTATTCGGACTATTGTCCTCATCTTTGTTGCCATATTTATCCGATCCTTCAGTATCTGTCTATATTTCTGAGATGAGGTATTATGTACACTATTTACATTATTCGGACTATTGTCCTCATCTTTGTTGCCATATTTATCCGATCCTTCAGTATCTGTCTATATTTCTGAGATGAGGTATTATGTACACTATTTACATTATTCGACTATTGTCCTCATCTTTGTTGCCATATTTATCCGATCCTTCAGTATCTGTCTATATTTCTGAGATGAGGTATTATGTACACTATTTACATTATTCGGACTATTGTCCTCATCTTTGTTGCCATATTTATCCGATCCTTCAGTATCTGTCTATATTTCTGAGATGAGGTATTATGTACACTATTTACATTATTCGGACTATTGTCCTCATCTTTGTTGCCATATTTATCCGATCCTTCAATATCTGTCTATATTTCTGAGATGAGGTATTATGTACACTATTTACATTATTCGGACTATTGTCCTCATCTTTGTTGCCATATTTATCCGATCCTTCAGTATCTGTCTATATTTATGAGATGAGGTATTATGTACACGATTTACATTATTCGGACTATTGTCCTCATCTTTGTTGCCATATTTATCCGATCCTTCAGTATCTGTCTATATTTCTGAGATGAGGTATTATGTACACTATTTACATTATTCGGAATATTGTCCTCATCTTTTTTGCCATATTTATCCGATCCTTCAGTATCTGTCTATATTTCTGAGATGAGGTGTTATGTGCACTATTTAAATTATTCGGA